TTGTTTCAGGCCCACTTTGCAAATAACCTTTGAGAAGCTACTGCTTGTGTAGTTTAGTTTGTATCAAAAGGAACATTCCACAATTATCTGAAAAGGTTATTAAAAATACTACTACTGCATATGTGTGAGCCTCTTTATAGACTTCAATCCAAATAAGGGATTAAACGCAGAAGCAAACTTGAAAATCCAGTGGTCTTCTAATGAGACAGACAAGAAAGAGGCTTGCAAAAATGTAAAAATGTAAAAATGTAAAAATGTAAAAAGCTTCACCTTCTCACTACCATGCTTATTTTGGGAAATAGTCATTGTTCGTATTAAACGCAGTGGGATATTAATATTTGTTGCAGCCAGCGCAACAATGGCTCCTGTAAACAGACAGGCGACACAGCCCTTATGAAAAACAGACACAAGAGTAAGATAAAAAATGGGACCAGGGGAGTCAAGACCTCATGAATCAAGAGCCCTGAATGCCCAGTCTGCATCATATTTATTATGATTCTCTAGCAGGAAATAACCTAAGAGTAGTTTAGAGGGTGACTGAAGCCTAGTAGCAAGCACCAGGCCCCCAGCGCTCTAGGTTAGTTATTAAAAGATAGTCATCGTCCTGTCTCCTCCTGGCTTCATTCTTCCAACTTGTGAATTGGTCAGGTCTGTGTCACAGACAGCCTTTTGACCTCCCTTTAGCAAAGGCAGAGTGTAAATGCCAGAGCAGTTTTCTGCTCATGTTTGCTCAGTTTTCTGAGACTAACATCATTTGCCTCCAGGAAGCATCTGGTTTCTGTTTAACAGTCTTAAGCTGTTAAAGGGAATTTTGTATACTAGTTATTCTTTAGGAGACATCACATTGTTCTGTATTCCCACGAATATTTACCTAAGTGAATTATTTAAATTGAAGTGCTGTCAATTACAACGTGTCAATCTCTGGTGTACAGCACAATGTCCCAGTCTTACATATACATATATATTCGTCTTCATATTTTTTCCATTAAAGGTTATTATGATTTTTTAAATTTAACAGTATTATTCCTAGTATGGAAAATATCGATAGAAGTAGCCACGGAAACAACATTATCATCCTTAAGGTGTTCCTAACTTGGAAGACTGTATAGATATTCTGACCAAAAGCTTTGAAAATTGCTGAATCAGCTCAGTGAGATGATGTGAAGAACAGCTCTCAGTGCAGGAGGGGTGGGATCACAGCAAAGTCCCAGTTCCCCGGGAGGCCGTGGCTCTCGGGGGTGGAGGGGTCTCATCGAGGGCGGGGACGATCTGTGCTGGGGATGCCCCATATCCCGGGGCCTTCCTGCCTGGACACCCGTGACGCGGTACCAGTTCTCACTCCCATCGGTGTCGCGTTTCTAGAGAAGCCAATCGGTTTCCACTTACAAACTCAGCATGCGCCTGTTCTCACTCTGGTTCTCGCAGACTTTCAGGGTGAGGATCTGGTGGCCCTGAACCCTTCTCCTGCTGCTCGCCGAGGCCCTGGCCCTGACCCAGACCTCGGGGGGTGAGTGCAGGGTTGGGAGGGAACGGCCTCTGCGGGGGAGGAGCAACCCCCTACCCCCGCGCCCCGGGGTAGCGAGGGCACGACCCCCGGGGAAAGTGCGACGTCGCCGCCCCTCGCCCAGACCCGTCACCCCATCTCTAACGCTCCCACTCCGCTCTCCCACCCTGAGGTCCTGGCCCGTTTTCCACCTGCCACCTCTTTAACGTCTAGCGAGCCCTCTCATCCCCGCCCCGCTTTCGCCCCTTCAACATCAGATCCTGGGACCCGTGCCCGCAGGAGGGTCGCGCAGGTTCTCACCCCTACCCGCCGCCAGGCTCCCACTCCATGAGGTATTTCGAAACGGGGGTATCCCGGCCTGGCCGCAGGGAGCCCTGGTACGTGGAAGTCGGCTACGTGGATGACACGCAGTTCGTGCGCTTCGATAGTGACGCCCGGAATCCGAGGATGGAGCCGCGGGGGCTGTGGGTGGGGCAGGAGCGGCCGGCGTATTGGAATCGGGAGACACGGAGAAGCAAGGAGGACGCACAGATTTTCCGAGTGGGCCTGAACACCCTGCGCGGCTGCTACAACCAGAGCAAGGCCGCTGAGCGACGCGGGCCCGGATCCAGGTCACGATCCCCATCCCCAGGGACTGGACGGGGACCCCCCCCCGGGTCTCCAGGCCGAGGGTCACCGAGACATTCCGCGACCCGCCCGGCCCTCGACCCGGGAGTACTCAACGGGTCTTTCACCGGGTTTCATTTTCGGTTTAGGTTGAATCACCGCTGTTGGTCAGGCCAGCTGCCGGGTTGACCGCGGAGGTGGGGCTGAGTGGGCGGGGCTGACCCGGGGCGGGGGCGGGGGCGGGGTCTCGCACCTATTAGGATAGGTAAGGCTGCGACCTGGGGCCGCACGGGCGCTTCCTCCACGAGTAAGTGCAGGACACCGACGACGGCAAGGATTACATCTCCCTGAAGGAGGACCTGCGCTCCTGGACCGCGGCGGACCCTGCGGCTCAGATCACCCTGCGCAAGTGGGAGGCGGCCGGTGTGGCGGAGCAGGAGAGGAACGACCTGGAGGGCACCTGCGTGGAAGGGCTCCGCAGACACCTGGAGAACAGGAAGGAGACGCTGCAGCGCGCAGGAACCAAGGGCCGCGGGGCCTCCACGATCTCCCCTCGGGCTGGAGCTCGAATCCCACGAGGAGAGGGAGACGGGATCCGTAGGGCACAGAATATACATAGTGACTCGCCAGTGCCTTGATTTTCTCTAAAGGACAATTAAGGAATGCAGCCTCTTCTGGGAGGAAGTGGGAGACCATCCCTGAAATTAACTGATCAGCTGTGCCCTTTGCTCCAGGCCGCCATCCTGTGAACCATGACTCTCTCTCAAAGCCTGTTCTTAGCCTGAGAACACCTTTGGATCCTGACTCCAGCTTTCCTAACATATTCACCCTCCACCCACTCAAGACCATTAGTCTGTATTTCTCCTCTTGCACTCCTGAAGCCTCCTGTGTTGACTCTCAACCCGATTCTATACTTTGAAAGCAATACGAGGTATTCCCATACCCACCCAGTCCAGGCTGGTGTCCCAGGTTTGTGCTGCTTCTTTTCAAACCCATTGTCCTCTCTCTTCTCAGGACTGTCACCTGATGGTGCTTCAGTGACCAAAGGAGGTAATCTAAAGTCTTTATGTTCTGATACTCTTTGCTCAGACCATCCAAAGACCCATGTGTCCCGCCACCCCATCTCTGACCATGAGGTCACCCTGAGGTGCTGGGCCCTGGGCTTCTACCCTGCGGAGATCTCACTGACCTGGCAGCGCGATGGGGAGGACCAGGCCCAGGACACGGAGCTCTTGGAGACCAGGCCTGCGGGAGACAGGACGTTCCAGAAGTGGGCGGCCCTGGTGGTGCCTCCTGGAGAGGAGCAGAGATATATGTGCCACGTGCAGCATGAGGGGCTTCAGGAGCCCCTCACCCTGAGATGGGGTGAGGAGGGAAACAGGGGTGGAGCTTCTTCTCAGGTAAAGCAGAAGCCCTTCTGGTGACCTTCAGCAAGATTGGGACTCAACCCTGAGGTCAGGGCCTGTTCCCTTCTCTTTGCAGAGCCGTATCCTCAGCCATCCGTCCCCATCATGGGCATCACTGTTGGCCTGGTTCTCTTTCTGGTCGCTGCAGCTGTGGTGGTGGGAGTTATGATCTGGAGGAAGAAGTGCTGAGGTAGGGAAGGGAGGAGGGGATCTGAGTTTTCTTGTCTCACTGGGGATTCAGGCCCAGGTACAAGTCTGCCTGCCTCCTTACTGGGAAGAACCATCCACACACACATGCTTGCCATTCTGGAGCTGAGTGCTAGCACTGACTCTTTATAAAGCATGTGTGAAAATGAAAGACAAATTTTTCACCTTGATAATTCTGCCTAGGGACCAGTTTCCCAGCAGTCAGATGTCAGAGGGGAAGGTCCCCACTGAGGACAGACTTCTGGGAGGACAGTTGGCCCAGTCCTCCCACATCTTTCTTCATGTTCCTGATCCTGTCCTGGATTACTAGTCACAGATCTGGAAAGTTCTCTGTGGTCCAGAATTAGGGGGTTTTCTAGGAACTCATGACTCAGCTTTCTTCCTAGCTTCCCATAGGATGTTTTCTTCTCACAGGTGAAAAAGGAGGGAGCTACACTCAGGCTGCAAGTAAGTATGGAGTTGTTACGGAAATGACAGGCCAGCCAAGAAACAAGCACCACTTGGAGGGTTGGAGTACTCAGATTTATTACGCCGGCGGGCTCGAGGGGCTTCTGCTCCGAAGCTCTGAGCACCTCCAAGACGTGCACATGAGGTTTTATAGGGTTAAGTACAAGTATGGGGCTATTAGCCAATAAGGCTCAAACAACAAAAAGCAAGGAATCAGTACACTGGAGCTTATCAATTTGGAACAGATCACGTTACTGACACTTGTTGAGCTTGGATTCATGACTTAGCTTGTTAGCCCAGTAAACTGACATTAAACTTCAGATTTACGAGTTAGCCCGGCAGAACTTATATCAGTAAACCGACACTTATCACACTTAGATTTGTGACTTAGCTCGTTAGCCCAGCTAGGCTTTTCCTTCACATTCCCCCCTCTTGATGCTTTCACAACCCTTGTTGGAGTAAGCATCATCATTTACCTGTTGCAGGGGCTCATAATTGGAGGCTAACATCTGAAGTTTTATAGCCTCTATTTGCTCACTGACAAAGCGGGTCAGGAAGTTTAGGACACAGGGCCCAAACAGCAGAACTGCAAAAATCAGGAGTAAGGGACCTATGAACGGTGCCAGCCAGGTCAGCCCCAGGGGCCTGTCCATGGGCTCTTATCTAAAATATGTTTTTTCTTTTTCACTCGGTCTTGTAACTCTTGAACCATTTTTCTGACAATTCCTGATTGATTGGCATAAAAACAACACTCTTCGTTTAGGAAGAGGCATAGTCCCCCCTCTTTGGCCGTGAGTAAGTCCAGGCCCCTCCTGTTTTGTAAGACCATCTCGGCCAGAGAGTCAGTCTGATTTTGCAGAGTTCCCAGGGTTTCTGCTATTTGTTGGAGATCGTGGCTGAATTCACATTTAACAGCTGCGTTGAGCTTTCCTCAGGCTTCGGCCGTGCGTTGACTAGCCAGCTTCCGGGTGTGGCTAGAGCAGGGCTGGTCGATCTTTTTCTGGTCCCTCTTGATCTTGATCTTGAGCGGGTCTCCCGGGACACTCTGAATTTTTCAGGGACCCTCCGTCTGAGGTGCAGTCGCTCTCTTGATCCTGGAGTGGTGGATCCAAGGGATGATTTCTGCAACTTTAACAGCTGTAGGAGTAGTTAATACCACTAAATATGGCCCCTTCTATGTTGGCTTGGGAGGTTTCTTTTTTTTAATCCTTTATCCATACCTGGTCACCTGGTTTGTGGGGATGCACTTGGACCTGTAATGAAATGGGGTTTTTTTTTATTACCCAACCCCAAACTTCTCGTAGTACTTTTTCTAGTCCCAACAGTTGTTGGTGGAGCCCTACATTTTCTATTTTTGGGGTGGGATTTCTCATCCTGATTAAAGGTGGCTATCACCCATAGAGGATTTTAAAGGGAGAGTACCCAATATTAAATCTTGGGGTGCATCTAATTCGCGACAGAGCCAGGGGTAGAATGTCCACCCAGGGGAGCTGGGGTTTTTTGGCTGATTTTAGCTATCATTTGTTTTAGAGTTCTGTTCATTTGTTCTACCTTCCCTGAGCTTTGAGGCCGGTATGCTGTGTACAGGTTTCAGCGGATGCTCAGTGCCTTTGCCACTTGCTGTACAATTTTTGCCACAAAGGCGGGTCCATTATCAGACCCGATGGAGGTAGGCATTCCAAATCGAGGGATAACATCCCTGAGGAGAGCCTTTGTCTTTTTTTTTTTTTTTTTTTTTGCTTTTTCTGTCCTGGTGGGTTAGGCCTTTACCCACCCTGTGAAGGTGCAGACGAAAACCAGCAAGTACTTATATCCCTTACTGGGCCCAAGTTTAGTAAAGTCCATTTCTAAATCTTCAAAGGGAGCCAACTCACATCCTTGTATTCCCATTGGCCCAGTTAGCCCTTGTTTTGGATTGTTTTGTGCACAGAGCAAGCAGCGTTGGGAAACTGATGCACACAGAGTAGGGAGACGAGAAATTAGGAAATATCGCTTTAAGAGGGCCTCCAAAGCCATTTTTCCCATATGTGTGGCTTTGTGTTGTTGTTGGACTAAACGATAAGCTAGTCATTCTGGGATGAAAACCCTTCCATCCGTCATGATCCATCATCCGTCCTTTTCTTTCTTTTTTCGTTTAGCCTATGCCCACTTGTTTCTGTCGTGGCTATATTCTGGGGCAGTGGGTAGCTCTGGCGCTGCCATAACTTTAATTACTGAGTGTTCCCGGGCAGCTGCTTCTTTGTCTTTTGATCAGCTAGCCTGTTCCCCTGGCTCACAGGGTCATTTCCTCTTTGGTGTCCCTTACAGTGAATAATGGCCACTTTCTTTGGATCCCATACTGTCTCCAGTAACTGTAAAATTTCTTCTTTGTTTTTGATTTCTTTTTCCCCAGCAGTCAAAAGTCCTCTTTCCTTATAGATGGCTCCATGTACATGCAAGGTTGCAAATGCAATT